ATATATATAAATATATGAAAAAATGATGTGGGTATTCAAATGATAGCTCTTGACGAGTGTAACATCGGGATGAGCTTATATCTTTAAAAATGTCAATATTTCACAAGACATTTGTTAAATTGCATTGTACTTTCTTAGCTATTGACGTTTTTAAAGATATAAGCTCATCCCGATGTTAAATTCATCGAGACCTTTCATTTGAGTACCCACATGGATTTTGATATATTTTTCATATATACATATATATATATAATATATATAAATATATGAAAAATTGATGTGGGTACTCAAATGAAAGCTCTCGATGAGTGTAACATCAGAATGAGCTTATATCTTAAAAAATGTCAATATTCAAGAAAGTACAGTGCAATTTAAAGTCATTATTTAATAAAGCAAAATCTTATTTATAGTTCACAAGTCACGGCAGTCACATAGTGACTGGATTTACTAGTACATACTTATAACTTAAAAGTAAAATAAAATTTTTTTTAGAGCGAGCTGATATTTTTTATCAACGGAGTATCTCAAGGACTAGCAGCAACAAACGTACCAACCCGTTTGTACACCGTAGTTGCAATGTTCTTTGACTTCGTCCAAGTAACGATAACAAACCCAAAGCCATTACTTTTGACAAATGAGCCGAAAGACGAGATGGAGATCAACAATGACTTTTCAATGGGCGAAGGAACGTCTACGAGTATGGTCGCTAATTTAAACGTCAATCTTAATGTCAATATGAACGTAAATTTACCAAAAAATCCGAGCCCAGCTGCCATCCGTGAGGACCGACTGAGATTTCACGAGCGCGTTGGATCATTGGTGAAATTATCAAACAACGCTCGGACCGCTGAAAGACGCAGGCCACTAGATGAGTTCAACAACGGAGTGGTGATGACTCACAGGCCGCTGAGAGACAACGAGCTGTTTGAAATCCGTATTGACAGATTGGTGGACAAGTGGTCGGGCAGCATTGAAGTTGGTGTAACCACCCACAGTCCAACGGGGCTTAAATTTCCAGCGACCATGACGAATATGCGGTCGGGCACTACGATGATGTCCGGTTGCGGGATTCTGACAAACGGAAAGGGGATCCAAAGAGAGTACGGAGATATTAATTTAGATGAGCTACGAGAGGGCGACAGAGTTGGAATGATTAGAAGGTGCAATGGCAATTTACATTATTTAATTAATGGTCTGGACCAAGGTATAGCTGCTAAAGTACCCCCTGGAATCTGGGGAGTCGTTGAACTTTACGGGATGACTGTAAAAGTGACAATTGTTGATCGGGATGAACGCGAAGAACAAAATCTCGTTACTCGGCGGAATAATTTACATTTGCAAGGATTAACAGAGGTTGAAGAAGAGGAGACTCTTGACCGGTTGACCTTTCATCCGTGCTGTGGTACTCACGCTGATGTAATAAACAATGGGCGTACTGCACACCGGCCTAATGCTATGGACGACTTCAATAATGGTGTGGTACTTACAATGAGACCATTGAGACCGAACGAATTGTTTGAAGTCAGGCTGGATAAAATAGTTACCAAGTGGGCGGGCTCTATTGAGATTGGTGTGACCACACACTCGCCAACTGAACTTGAATTTCCTTTTACGATGACCAATGTACGCTCTGGCACGTGGATCATGACTGGCAATGGAGTTATGCACAACGGAACGTCTATTATTGATCAGTATGGCCAGAATCTTGATCGCCTCCAAGTTGGAGATCGCGTTGGAGTCATGAGAAAGGACACTGGGACGCTGCATTTTTTTGTCAATGGTACAGATCAGGGGGCTGCTGCTGTTGGTGTTCCGGAAAGAGTCTACGGGGTTATTGATTTGTATGGTCAAGCTACGCAGGCTACTATTGTTGATAACACTGATTTTTACAGTCCTACTACTAATAATTCTAGTTTTAGCAACACGACTTTGTATAGGTGAGAGTTTATGATTTATGTTTTTTTTTAGGTAATTTAATTGGTTGAGCCTTGGCTAATTTGGTTTTTTTTTGTAAAAGCGATTTAAGATTTCATCATGTACATGGCAAGCACGCGAGGATTTCAAATAATGGACTGACAGCCTCGAGAATACGAGCTTTGGGGGAATTTAATGAGGCTATCGTGATCGCTAATCGACCTTTACGTGATGGCGAACTTTTTGAAGTTTCTATTGACAAAATGGTTGGACGGTGGTCTGGTGCTATCGAAGCTGGTAATTTAAATATTGTTTATTTTATAGGAAAAAAAATTAACTTGAATCAAGTAAAATTTACTTAAAACAAGATAAATTTCTTAGTTTGAACATTTTTCTGGCAATTAAATAAAATTGTAAACTTATGCAAATAAAATACCACAATAATAATAATTTTTTTTTTTTTTTTTTTTTTTTTTTTTTTTGATTGTGCTTGCTGGAAAAGTTGGAAAAAATTTTGGCTTTCATGTTGTTGGATAAAATTTCTATTTTATCTTTTTTTGATATATTTTTTTTAAAAAGTATTTAAAAAAAAAATATGTTAATAAAATCAAATAGAAATTTCGTTCAACTCTATTCTTGGCTATATCTAGGTCAAAAATTAACATTTTCAATTTTTATTTTATTTTGCTTGTTTTTACGGCGCATTTATATTATGATAAAAAATGTCGTGAAAGAAAAAAATAAAGATTTCGATAGTTTTTTTGCTTTCAAAAGTTGGAAAAAATTTTGGCTCTCATGTTTTTGGATAAAATTTATATTTTATCTTTTTTTTGAAAAATACATAAAAAAGTGAATAATTAAAAAAAAATTGAATATAGGTAACAAATTTTTTGGAAATTTTTTTAAATTGTGACAATCAACTTTTTTTTTTAAATTGTTAATATTTTAATGTATTTTTCAAAAAAAAACATCAATAAAATCAAATAGAAATTTCGTTCAAAAAAATGAAAATTAAACTTGTAAATATTTACCAAATAATTTTTAGAGAGTTTCATTCTTTTGAATCAAAACAAAAAATTCTTGAACTAAGTAAAATTTATTTAAAACAAGAAAAAAATCAAGATTTCTTTTTTGTGTAAGATTTTAAATTTACATTAACCACAGTAAATAATTCAATAATTAAATAATCCAATAATTTATTGATAAAATAGGCGTGACGGCAATAAGACCCGATGAATTAGAATTCCCATCAACAATGACCGACATAGACCACGACACATGGATGTTATCAGGCTCAACAGTGATGCGAGACGGCGTAACCCTTCGCCACCATTATTCCTGCGATCTAGATAAGCTCGTCGAAGGAAATAGGATCGGTATGATGCGATGTGCCGACTCAAGCCTCCACTATTACCTCGATGGAGTCGACCAAGGTACTGCGTGCAGTGGTCTTCCGCCTCACGTATACCCAGTGATTGATTTGTATGCGCAGTGTGCCCAGGTATGAGCTTCCGGCCCCAAAAATTATTTTATCCCCTACCAACAATTGATCCTAAAGTCAATGACCGTTTTTAAAAAAAATATTCCATCACAGGTCACCATTGTCCAGCCGGAGCGACGTGATACAATAACCCAGCAGTACTTGCCTTCAGAGAACAGTATCAGTCAGCAACCGACCTCAGTGATACAACCCCAAGCTCCCATGGAGATTACCCACAAGTTCCACGAGTCAGTGGGGCTCAATATTCAACTGAACACAGATCGAGTTATCGCTGCGCGCTGTCGCGAGTACAATAATGCCGTTTTACTGAGTGAGAGTGGCCTCGAGAACAATGAACTGTTTGAAATAGCCATCCAAGAAGTTGCGTATGAATGGAGTGGCTCGCTAAAAATAGGAGTCGTAGAAAATCCAAATGGAAATTGGCTGACCTCGATGGACTTAGTTCCAGGAATGACTTCAATTCCCGTAGACGCTTGGTACCTAACCGGGAATGAAGTCAGGTACAAGGGCAATGTCCTCAGCTCTAATTACTGTCCCAGTTTGGATTGGTTAAGAGTCGGTGATAAATTAGGAGTAAAAAGGAGCCACGAGGGCAATTTAAAATTTTACATCAACGGAGAAGACATGGGAGTTGCTGCAGTTAATGTTCCTGAGATGGTTTGGGTGGTGGTTGAATTATTTGGAAGCACAGTAGCTGTTAGTATCACCAGCAGCAAGCAACAGCTTCCAGCAATTTCACCCAATGCCAGTTTAAGACTGCAAGACTCGCTGGAACTTCTGCTGGACCCAATGCCGCTAACTATGAGAAACGACGGAGGCATGGACACGTCGATAGACGCCTCAGAAGCTAAACTCCAGGAAATTATTTTAACTCCTACCCAACCGATTATCACCTCTACCGGTGAAACGGTGGACTGGTGTTACGAGTTTCACGAGAATCATGGAAGAAATGTTGAGCTAGAAGGTCAAACTGTAGCTCGTAGAGTCGCTAGTTACAATCAAGGCGTTGTGATGACCAACCGGCCGTTAATAAAGGGCAAGATATTTCAAGTGGAAATAGAGAAAGTTAATGACCGTTGGGTGTCGGGGATTCTATGTGGCGTAACTTGTATCTCGCCTGAGAAAGCTTCGTTTCCTTTGACGGCTTTGGGGTTCAAAAAATACTCGTGGATTATTTGCAGTGACTGGATGTCTCACAACGGCACTAAAGTTAAGACCCGCTACGGTGGAAATTTGGAAAGTGTCCAAGCTGGCTCGACTGTAGGCTTGTTAATTGATGAAGATTCAAGATTACATCTTTATGTTAATGGATCTGATCAGGGAGTAGCAGCAACTGATCTTCCGCCGTATGTTTACGGAGTTATTGATCTTTATGGTCAGGTTGAACAAGTTTCGATAGTTGGTCCTGTTGCTGAAGCTGTTCTTACTAACAACGACGCTATTAATATGGCGATTGCCAATAATGTTGAGCGTGTTAGTGATGAAATTGAGGACGTTGAAAATTCCAGGGAAAAAGCTGACCTAGAGTGTCATGAGAAGGAAAATGTCCTTGAAATTCCGTCCAGTCTACCTTTAAATATTCAAGATGAATTGACTAACTTTAATGCAATACAGACTACTTCATCCCGGGGGAATTTGTTGGAAAATGCTACTGCTAATATAGCTGCCCCTTCAACTGCATCGATTGATAATATTACGCATTTTAATAATGATCTTCCTGGCAAGTCGATGACCAGCAGCTGTAATTCTGACAGCAATAATTCAACAAGTGAATTGGAAATTTCTAATGAGCCACTTGTTACTGCTACTGCTACTACTACTGCTGGTTCTGTTGTTGTTGTTGCTGATGGTCTGGAGTGTTTTAAATTTAAAAATAATATTAATCATCCAGATGATTCGTATGACAATAATACTATGTCTAACAACGATTTGGATAATGATAATGATAATCAAGATGAGCAAGTTTCTAATGGCATGATGATGAGCAGCTTGAGAAATAATGACTGTACAAATGTAGAGATAAACAATGCAACGAATATAAATATTAAAAATGGTTCAGCTGCTACGTCTAGCAATATGTCGAGTTTAAATACTGCTATTAATTCTATGAATGCCAACAATGCAATTAATGAAAGTATCGCGTCTAACGGGCAATTAAATAATATTCCTGGTTTTCATCAAAATTCTAATAATTTAAATGTCAATGTTAATCTTAATAATATTAATCAGGATAATAATTCTCAATGCAATCTTTTGAGTAATTTAGCAGCGACGTCTTTCAATACATCTATTACTTTGCAGTCTCAAGAATCCCAATCGATTAATCGTCAGCAGCTTCATCAGAGTAAACAGAATTCCAATAGTGCCATACTACCCAATCAAAATCAAATTTCAAGTCATAATTCACAACAATCTACGTTGAGTTCTACGAGGACATCGTCTTCACCACCTACGCCGTTGAACTCGACTATTATTTTATCACCCTCGAAAAAGTGTGAATATTTGAAAGCTTGTAAGAGATTGAAGAAGTCACTTGTTCTGCCAGATGAGTTTTTTTCACTTGATGAAATTACTTGTTATTGCAATTTGTGTTATAAAGTTGATAGTGATGGAGCTATTTGTAAGAAAGGAGATCCTCCGGCGGAATTTGCGGTTCCTATTGGGTGGGTTAGATTCCCTCTTAAGCAGACTATCAATGCTAATCAAATTCCGCAGAGTACTACTGATAAGTGGCATGTTGCTTACTATGGAACACGTTTGGATTCAATTAGGTGAAAATTATTTTATATTATTTTTCCTACTTATTAATTTATTATTTACTATATTATAATTACGTAATTTTTTTTCTTATTATTTTAGATGGATTCTTGATCGCGGAGAATTATTACCCATGGAACAATTGGACACCAGTAATTTAACAACAATTATTGATAGTGAAGATCAAAATCCACAGGTTGTATTCTCGCCGAATATCAAGTACGTCGCTTCTGAAGGCATTAAAAAATATCCGTAAGTTTTAAATTCTTTTTTTTTTTTTTTTTTTTTAAATTATAAGGATTTTTATAATTAAAAATATTTTATTTTATTTTAGATACATTGACACTCAATCAAATAAAAAATTAAATGCTTCAACGGCGTTTCAATTACTGGTGAGACCTGGATCTTACACGATGGGCTCAGACAAACAGCACGGAGCAGACGGAGTTGAACCTATGGAATGGGCTACTAAAGAAGCTGGTGCCACAGTTATCATAGCTCTTCTAATTAATCTCGATGAATTTTAATCTATAATAACAATAACTATCTAACTTATTGAGATGATCTAAATTAAAAATCTCTTGATCTTTAATTATCCCTGGTAAAGTTAATCATCGACACGATTAACTGTCACTATTTTTACACGGCAATTAATAAAAAAAATTTGCTTTATTTTAATTTCATAAAAGATGATTATGAAGATACACATACACTCAATTGTAAAGTTAAATTTAAAGATATAAACCTTGGATAAGACAACAATGCAATTTTGAAAACACATCTGTGATTATTTTACTAAAAAATTATCACTAAAAGTGGGAACATGAACAAAAAAAAAAAAATAGCAAAGTAAATATTTTTATTTCTTTAAAAAAGAAATTTTTATTTATCTTAATAATCCAAAATATATGTACATACATATAAGTATACTTTTGAAAAATAAAAAAAAAAAAAAAAAATGAATATAAAAAATCGGTCGATTATTAACTTTGTACGTATTTTTCTGTGATACTTTTTATTACAGCGCGGATGAATAATTTAATTATAAAAATAAAAAATAAAACAAACGCATTTGCCAAGCGTACTGTGGTCCATTTATACGATATAAAATTTTTATTTATCATCGTATTAATTATTAATCTATTTTATTTATATACTTTGCTTTCTTTTTATACGAACAAAATTCTTTTTAGTTTTCAAATTATGTAACTAAAAAAAAAAAAAAAATAGCGTCAAGTGCTTCGTACCGCCGTTGCAATGCAACAAAAAAAAAAATGAGTACATTTATTTTAACTATTTTAATTATAAATTAATCTCATTTCTAAAAAAAAAAAAAAAAAAAAACTGAATATAAAAAATCGGTCGATTATTAACTTTGTACGTATTTTTCTGTGATACTTTTTATTACAGCGCGGATGAATAATTTAATTATAAAAATAAAAAATAAAACAAACGCATTTGCCAAGCGTACTGTGGTCCATTTATACGATATAAAATTTTTATTTATCATCGTATTAATTATTAATCTATTTTATTTATATACTTTGCTTTCTTTTTATACGAACAAAATTCTTTTTAGTTTTCAAATTATGTAACTAAAAAAAAAAAAAATAGCGTCAAGTGCTTCGTACCGCCGTTGCAATGCAACAAAAAAAAAAATGAGTACATTTATTTTAACTATTTTAATTATAAATTAATCTCATTTCTAGTCATCTAATTAATTAACTAGTTAATTGAAATAAAATATGTATTACGATAAAGATAAATTCCATTGAAATATATTTTTAAGTATTGTAAAAAGTAATTTAATTTTTTTAATATTTTCATTTAATAATTAATGGATTAATTGATAAAAAAAAAAAAAAATGTAAATTGGCCTGTGGACTAAATGACATTTTTATGAGAAGAAAATGTGATTAAGCCGCTACTTACGATTAGATAGAATTACTTTTTAATAAAAATATTAAATATTGTCAGTAGATAGAAGGCATATTTAATAAATTAATATTATTATTATTAATATTATTAAATGATTATCCAAAGTCACAATTTAAATTAAAATAAACAGTTACAATCGTGTTATAAAAAAAGCACCGCGTAGATGCAAATAAATAGGCTGTATGATGCCTTATGCCTGATTAAGTGCAATTTAAATACGCTAATTAAAAAATAAATAGTTATACAAATGCCTAGATGTAATTTATCATTAATTACTTCTATTTCGGACTGTTAAAATAAAAGAAAAAATTATTCTGGATGCTTGAGTCTCAATAAAAACACCAATTATAAAATTAGTAGCACTAAAAAATTGTGACGATGTTTAAATTAAAATATTACTAAAAAAAATATTTTTTGGAATTTTAATTAGAAAATTTAGGGAATAAATTTCGTTCATGTTAATATTTCATTTTAATTATATATGTTTACCTCATACTGTAAAACAATAAAAATAATTTATAAATATTTATCTTGTATTTATTTTAAGGGATTTTTTTTTAATATGAATTTTTTTTTATTAGAAAAAATGAAATATTTTATTCAAACTTTTCAAACAAAAAAAAAAAAAAAATTTGAAACCCATGTAACTCCTTAAGGGCAATTTTCTACTCAATAATTAATTTACAATAAATTATTTAAATTAAATAATTTTATTTATCAAGTGCTCAAATAGTTTTATAAGTGATTAAAGAAAATTAATTTCATTTCTATAGATTAATTTTAAACCCAAACCCTGACATATTGATCCCATGAGCAGCTGGCTACTGCCATTCCATTTGGAGCTACGCTTAAAGAAGTAACTCTATTCTCGTGTCCGACTAAAGCTCCTAAAAATTAATAAATAAATCAATAATAATTGATAATTTTAATAATTAAATTTTTTTTTTAATTAAATTACCGTTGTATTGGCCTTTCAATGTGTCCCATATATGAATAGAATTATCGTCACTCGCGCAGAAGATATATCTACCGCTCAGGGATAATCCACAAGAAGTATATCCGGGATTAGAGCTTGGTGGTTTGTACGTAGCGAGTTGTTGGTCAGATCTCAAGTCCCACATTCGAGCGGTTTTGTCTTCTGATGCTGTTACAAAAGAGTATCCCGAAGGATGAAACTATATGAATAAATAAATAAATAATTAAATTTTTAAAATAAACTCAACATTAAGTTTTTTGAGTAAAATTATTGTTTCTTACACAAACAGAATTTACATCAGCTTCATGACCGAAGAAAGTTTGTTTGGCCTTTTCTTCCCTCATGTCCCATAATTTACAAGTTTTGTCAACGGATCCAGTTATGTAACTGTTTCCGTCTGGAGATAGACTAATACTGACGACATCTCCAGCATGAGCGCAAAAATCTGTTGTCTTCTTTCCGGATTCCAATTCCCACATGCATCTTCACAAATTAAAGATCGTAATTTTAAGTTATTATTATCTTAAAAATTTTATAAATAATAACTAGCAACTTTGCAGTCAATATGTGACTGCAGGGACTTGTGAACTATAAGTAAATAAAATTTTGCTCTAATAAATAATAAATTTTGTTAAATTACAATGGAGTTTCTTAAATATTGACTTTTTTAAAGATATAAGCTCATTCCGATGTTACACTCATCAAGAGCTTTCATTTGAGTACTCACATGCATTTTTATATATTTTTCATATATTTATATATATATACATATACATAAATATATAAAATATATGAAAAATTGATGTGGGTATTCAAATGAAAGGTCTCGATGAGTGTAACATCGGGATGAGCTTATATCTTTAAAAATGTCAATAGTTCACAAGATACAAGGTCATTTCTTAATTATTGATATTTTTTAAGATATAAACTCATTTCGATGTTACACTCATCAAGAGCTTTCATTTGAGTACCCATATGCATTTTGATATATTTTTCATATATACAATATATACATATATACAATATATATAAATATATGAAAAATTGATGTGAGTACTCAAATGAAAGGTCTCGATGAGCGTAACATC